GCAATGTTGGAAATATTTCTGTTTTAAACCATGAAGACGAGCCTATGGATATCACACACAAGCAACGTGCAAACTTTGCGCAAGAGTTACGCCGGTGAACGTCTTAATCTCAATTCAATTCACTATACAGAAAATGAAAGTAAAAATGCAATGATGGAGCTTTCGCCATCTGACGCCGCATATTCTCTCAGAGACGGCGAGATGAATCTACTTCAACATATGCTGATAACGGTATATAGCTAACTATTTCTAATATTACATAGTGAAAAAAAAAATTAGAAGAAACATATTTTGTGTTAAACAGGTTGTTTTTGAAAGTCGGTGCTTGAAATAAAAGCTTTTTATTTCATAGATTTTTATTGATGACTGAAGTGTTAATATTTTAATCATAGGTCTATAATTCATTGTATAGACCTGTTTTAAAATACCTTTTTTTTTTTAACATGTTAATTGAGGAGTAAATATATGGCCTCATCTTTTGTTATCCTCGCAGCATGTCAGTTATTTGGCGTCAGTCAATATTATTTATTGTATTTGTTATCCGCCCAGCACGTCAGTCAATATTATTGTGGGGCAAATTAATTGTAATTTTAATTTAATAATAAAAGTAACTTAATAATAATAATAATAATAGGCCTAATAAAAATAAGAATGTAACAGGCCTACATTAATTGGAAATGCCAAATAGCTTAATATTGCCAACAATTTATGTTTTTGACAGTATCTCTGGCTATCGTCGATACAAGATCATCGTCTTTCGACGCGACCCAACCCAGCAAGGGGAGGTTATTGCAGGGCCTTTCGCAGTGCGTGTCCTGCGTGCCCGTCCACTAACGTTACGCCACTAAGCAGACAGCACGTTGCCTGTTACGTCGTTTGGGCTGCCTTTTTGAGCGCAGTGGCACTGAGAACATTATATTTCACACACTTTTAGCTGTTTTATTTTACAAATGTAATAGGATTAGTCCAACGAATCGAATAGTTTGGTTTCTAATGCGTACCGAACCGAAAGCCTCGTACCGAACGGTTCAATACAAATACGTGTATCTTCATCACTCTGACACATGCATGGTGATTAGACCGACTTCCAGAGAATATTCTACCCGTTAGGCCTAGAGCACTTGGGCTTTAGTGGCAGAGAAGAAATGTGAAGCCTGGCCTGAAGGACCCAGACAGCTAATTACTCATTAATGTTTATGATTATCCAGCTAACGCAACAATGCTCACTTATTCAAGATATATTAGATGTGTGGTCATCCGTGAGCCTTCTGCCCTCGAGTTGCATTCTCTTGCCTTTCATACGTCAACCCAAAGTGATCGCGCTCTCTCTGCACTTGTTATTAAATTACATGAGTTTAAAACCACACTAATTGGTTTAATCTGAACACTGGGTTAATTTGGCGCTATGATGAGTTTCAGGGCACGGATGTACTAGCGAGTGACAAAGCCCTGATTCACAACAGCACTCGAGAAAGAAAAGCGCTTCACCAACTGCTACGTCAAACGGAACGGGTTTATCTCTGCGACCGTTCAAGAACATGCAGACAAGAAAGACTGAGTTTATTGTTCATGTTTCTTGTGTAGTGGTGCACCAATAAGTGTTAAAAACAAACATCTCCAGTGAGACAGACATACTTACATCCAGCCAGGCGGTATTGATAGTACTGCACAAAGTCTGAGGCCAGCACCAAGGGGTGGTTGCTGTTGAAAGGTGGTTGTAGCTCATTCCACTGCGGTGTCCTACTCAAAACAAACATAGAAATCAATTTAGGAAACGCATATCAAAGGGCCAGATGTATATAACAGTCTCCAGCTGAGCTATAATGGACTCAAAACTCTCCACAGCCCGACGGACCTTCCATTTCTCCCGTCTCATGTGGGCCACACGAGCTATACAGCTCAGTACATACAATCATTTAACATGTACAATCAGATCAGAAAGCCATTCTGAGAGCAACCCCTGCCTGTTTCCATTTTCTTCGCTTGGTCACAAGCTTTATTGCATTATGACTGAGCTCAGCGTCTGGGTCGGTGAAAAGCCGTGACGTTAATCATTTGCTTGCCCTCATTAAGGCGCTATATAAGCTGTTTTATGTAAATGATATGACTGCAGTGGGTCGTGTCAGGTGCTTCTGTCGGACTGAAGGTGAAGTGTAAATGCAGGTAAATAGGTGTGGTGCTGAGAGCCCCGGGGCAACACCTGGCTAGATTCCAACAGGCTCTCGGACAGGTGTTCAGCTCCAGAGGCGTGTCGTCGCCTATCTTTTGTGCCGTGCTGATTGGACGAGGTTCCAGCACATGCTCCACCAGATTTCCGTAGCAACTCAGGATGTACAGTGATTCAACGACAGCCTGCCGAGACTGATCTAACAGGGAAGAAAAGTCAAGAACAAGTTATTAAAGATTTTGGTTTCTAACATGACCTCAGAATGTTTTTGTGGATTTTGTGGAACAGATTTTGCAGTTCCATCTGGTACCATTTAAAGGATCAAAGAAATAAACAAAAAGGAGATGCCAGAGCTTTTAACAAATAATAAAGAAATAGAATATAAAAACATACTAACTAAAATATAAGAAAATATAATAAATACTATACACATATATATATATGTGTATATATATCTATATGTGTGTATATATATATATATATATACAGTGGGTACGGAAAGTATTCAGACCCCCTTACATTTTTCACTCTTTGTTATATTGCAGCCATTTGCTAAAATCATTTAAGTTAATTTTTTTTCCTCATTAATGTACACACAGCACCCCATATTGACAGAAAAACACAGAATTGTTGACATCTTTGCAGATTTATTAAAAAAGAAAAACAGAAATATCACATGGTCCTAAGTATTCAGACCCATTGCTCAGTATTTAGTAGAAGCACCCTCTTGATCTAATACAGCCATGAGGCATTCAAAATAAAAGTTTTTGTTTACATAATGTATGTGTGTGTACAGTGTATATTCATTATGTATATATAAATTCACACACTAAGTATATATTTCGAAAATATTTACATGTATTTCCATATTTATTATATATAAATATATTTAAAATATAAACATAACTTATTTTTCTTAAATATATACATGCATGTGTGTGTATTTATATATACATAATAAATATACACAGTACACACACATATATTATGTAAACAAAAACTTTTATTGTGGATGCAATTAATCACGATATATATTTCATCAATATTCAAACCACTTAATTTAGCTAAAGCTTAAAAATCATGACTAAATAAAGCTCAAAATAAGATGCTCATGCCCTAAGGGTTGTAAGCCATGTCAGACCTTTCTCTCTCTTCATGTTGGGGTTGGTGATGAACCAAGAGCGGGAGGAGGCGAAGACTGCAGCCACGCAGAACTCCCCACCACTGGACTTACTGGGAGAGATCTGGGGAGGTGGCTTGGATTTGCTAAAAAAAAAAAACAGAGTCACAAATGAGAATAAGAATATAGAGAGAAAGAAAGAAAGTCTGTTTTTGGTGATTGGCATCAGAAGTAAAACAGCAAAATCAGTCACATTACTGACTAGAAAAGAGAGACAGTTGGGATGTAAAGAATCAAGACAGTATATCCTGCATATGAATGAAATCGCTCAAGAGTTTCGAACAAAAATCGCACATCCACAAACAAAATACTGTGCTTGTAAACAAAAAACATAATACAATCACACATTCATACTTCAAGTAAAAAATAAAAAAATAAAAACTTTTTTTTGCTTATTATTTCACTGCCATTTTCTTAGTGTTTTAAGATGTTTAAGTGTAATCTGAAAGACACCGTTTATAATATGTTTATATATACATATGTTAAGAAAATGTCTTTAAATTTGCAGTCAAATGCATATTATTAAAAATGTTGTTTTCGAGAGGAATTTAATTTCACTTCACTTGTATTGGACAACATAACCACTTTAACTTTTATTTAGCAAGCACAATTTTACGACAGTTGTCAAAACCAGAAAACCATTGATCTTTTATATTTCTGTTCAGTGAATATAATGACGTTGTTAAAGCTCAACACATACATATACACTCCAAGAGTCTGTACAGATACCACATAATGGCTGTCATTTGCTTATAAAGCGGCTTCAAATGGAAGCTTTTAAGCTGCTTTGGAAGGCCTAATTTTAGTCTTGGCATTTGAGAAAAATTATTAGGTCCTATTGAATTATTCTTTACATCAGTAAGTTTTTGAAAAAGCCAAGGAGAAAAAGGGTCATGAGCTGAGAGATAAGGACTCGCATGTGGAATTCATCCTAGAACAGAAGCCATGTGGTGTCACTGTCCGAATCCCGCACTAACCCGCACTGTAAAAACCTGCCCTCCGTATCTCAAACATACAAGAGACTCCCAAAACACTGAATACTGGCTGTTTCACACAGAACAACACTTCAGATACCATCAGCCATGCAGAGATACACACTCAAATACACACAAATGGATGTGAATGGGAGCCGGCAAAATAAATTATTAGGAGTTTCAATTTAACACACACAAAAAAAACATATAATTAAGCATACTCCCTAACCTGTAAGTAATTCTACAATATAAAAAATTAACATTAGAACAATTCAACAAGATTTGTGCTACTCGGCCGCAGTGAGTGAATCCTCAGCTGTAAGTATAAGCAATGCATCTCAAACCACACTTATGCCACAAAATGTGCTATTCACACAGAACACATTTGTGCATTCAAAAACAGTTATATAAAGAGCAACAGAATGGATGAAGTACTTGACAAGGTATCCTAAATACAGAGTACTCAATGCGCAAGATCATAAAAAACAGTGAGAAAATAAACAACATACTCATTTCTGAAGCAATCTTTTGTTGCATCTTTTCAGTATTTTCTTCTTCTAAAATGTATTAAATAGAAAACAATTATTTAAAAATTTAAATATTTCATAATATTGTTTTTTACGGTATTTATGATCAAATAAATGCAGCATAGATAAGCATAAGAGAGAAAAATATCAACCCCATACTTTTGATCCCTATAACTCTTATATTTCTATTGTACTAAAGCCAAATCAAATGATTCATATTTTATCTAGAAATAATGTTATAACCTGCATATGCATTAACCTGAAGAACATTAATTTAATTTTGTTGTATAATACTATTTAAAGTTAATATTTAATCCCAGAAATCTTCCATTGGCCGCAGACACCGCCTTTTAGTTTGCAAACCCCTGATATATATGATTAATTGCTATAAATTTGATTGATTCATCAGCATATCATGTAATTCATTCAATTCAAATATGGAATCGATTGAAAGCCCTAGTCATTATGCACTAAAAGGGAAGATAACTGCAAAACAAAACTGCCGATTGTAATGAAATTGTTGTAGACCGTGGAGTCTGGACTGAGAGTTAATGTGGATGAATTGTCCAGTGTTTGAACCGGGACTCTTCCAGCCTTGCATTGCACTAATAGGTGTTGAGTGACCTGTTGCTGAGCTGCACTCTCACTCTGTCACTTCCCTTAAAACTGTCATCAAGTCGTAAATTACTCTCAGGATGAGGAGTGATGCTGACATCTTTGTTTAGCCGACACCAGGCGAGGATTGCTGGTCGGGAAGGACTAAAGACAAAAAAGACACAGAACAGTACAGAAAAGCAGGGAGAGATATTGGCACGTGTTTATTGGTGTTGGATGGAGGTGAAGCGAATAACTAAATATCTGCGCTGATGGGGAGATACGAGAGGTTTGTCAGTATATCGCCTTGGCTTGAGCAGCTGTGAACGTCTCGCTGTCTGTGAGTGTAGAACAGGGGACACGGCACTAAACAAACATAGTCAGCAGCCACAGGATTTGAAGAGCAGGGCACAGTGAAGTGCATGGTTTCCTTTTTCTCCCTCTAATAAAACCAGGAATCCCAAGCGGGATAATGAGGAGAGAAGACAGCAGACATTTTGATAACCTCAAATCTTTAGAAAGGCCGCTTCCTTTGCCCTGACCATCACTGACCGTAGAGAAAAACACTGAGCGTAGCTCAAAGGAGCATTCAAATCCTTCCTGCCCCACCGCAGAGTTCAAGGCAGCGAGGGAAATGAACGAGCTTAGCAGTTTTCCAGGCTGGGATGCAGGTGAAGAGCTGGCTTTTTCACGTTCGGAGGGGCTGATGCACTTTCTTGAAGGAAAACTGTAAAGGATGGGCGCACAGATGTTCTTAATAACAAAACCAAACCTAACTCAGTGTGACTAAACATTTATTCCTCTGAAATCACAGGCTGACACTGTCCGCCGCAAATCGGAGAGGAAATTGTATTCGTTTCTAAGTACTTTGCATATTAAATCTGGAAATATTCTTTCCAAGGTATATAATGTCATGCCAGTAATGATGATGAGACCAAAAACACTGCAAAGAGCCAGTCTGAGTTCAAACCTGGACATAACTTTGAGCGCTCATCTCCTAGCGGCGGGACTAAAGCTGGCCAACTATGGTAAGAGCTCTTTGAAGAGGCTTTGGTCAGCAGATGATTTGGTCAACATGTTCTTATTTGAGTGCACTTTACACTTGCATTGCATCTGAATTTCCTTGAAGCGACTGCTGGAGTTGGTTTGTCTGTATTTGAAATCACTTTTTTCCTCTGGGTCTCACTTAAAGTGGCTAGTATGACTCAAGCTACAGTGATTCAGCCGGCCATTTGAGCGAACGGATTATTCTAAATAAACATTGGCATGGGGAGAGGCTTACACAAAAATGTATCCGAAAATCAATACATTATGAAACATAAACATATTTAGTGAGATGGAGGAGAAGGGAAGACAGACGTTACTAAACAGAAGCCAATTTCGTCTTCTCCCTATTGGCATTTCCCCTGCTGCTTCTGGAGTGTTTTTTCCTCTCTCTCTCTAACTAATTCACTGAAAAGACTCCTTGCATGTCATTTCCACTTTTAATTTAACATATGAGGACTCTTGACATGAGCTAATAGCTTTTCCTCAAGGGCATAATTCAATCTGTGATGTCCACCATCAAAGCCCAGCCACAGTACAGTCCCGGCCACAGACGAGGCGCCATCGGTGGGGGGGGGAAGGCGGCCCCCCCCATTTCTTTTCAAACAAATGCAATGGCGGGCTTTAAATGACAAAAAGGAGCACGGATCTCATTTGAACTTATCAGGGGTCTTGCCGTGACAATCTGACCATATGGTCGGTGTACGTCAGCCAGCGGAGCCTGTGTAACAGCGCTCATGAAAGGGTCGTGCAGAACGCAGACATTTCTCTCAACGTCACATTTATTATCTCACAGCAGCTTTTCCTCGGACACAGCTCGGGCACACGGCCACGGTCCATACACGCTGTGGTAGCAATTTGGGAGGCCGGCATCAAACGCTAAAAGAGAAACAAAACTTTTCCCCTCCATTTCCAGCGTTCCAGCTCATTGGGACATCGTTGAGGAAGGTGCCTGATTCGGCATGATTTCCCTTTTCTTTAGAGAGATGCCGGAAAATATGCATTCCCCAGGTGTGAGCGCAGCTGTCTGTGGAATTTATGAGCCGCCAGGTTTTGAGGTTTGTGATGGTTGTACTTCTTCGTTCTGAGTGGAGGACACTTTCAAAAATAAAAGGGAAAAAAGTTTCAAGTTTTCATAACCTACATCAATCAAAACCTTTCCTGAACTACACAGGATCTCTCAGTTATCTTGAAAACAGAGCATATCAGTCAGAGCATATCAGTCATCTATTTCTGCATTTTCTCCATGCAGAAATAGATTTTTTGCATAACGTATAATCGAAAACATTCTGCTTTTATTTTTATACGTCTAATGACTCACTAAAAGTCAACTGTCTCATGACATATTTTTTTTGCCGATTCTGATTCTTAGGGGGGGAAAAGGAAGCTGAAAAAAACATTTTTATAGCCAGGGCCGTCCTTAGGGGGGTGCAACTGTTTATAGCATTATTTTTTAACTCTTTTTCTCAGTCTACTATTGATTTAATTAAATCATATTATGGATTTTTGAAAATTAACTTTCATGCACTGTGTAACACAGCTCAAAGTGAATGAAAACATCCTGCACAATTTTAAATCTGAAAGTGCACCGTGTATAAAGTTATTGTCTCTCAAAAAAAAAAAAAACTGAAATCGACCAATCGGACCAATCACCGCAGATAAGCGTCACGCAAAGGAGGGATTTGGAAAAATTAATCGTTGAGCGAATCGTTTGGGAGTCATTGAGCAAATAAGGTAAAAATAAATGCATATTATAAGACCATTAAAGTGTTTTTTGACCTTGCATGCATGTCAACCAAACCAAAATATGAGCCTTTCATAACCCATAATAGGGGCACTTTAAATATAATTTACTTTATGTCTCCTGAGCTGTTTATAATCAAATCTCATGTTCCGCCATTTGTATTTGAGCTGCAATTTTCCATCTTGTTCCTGCGTGGGAGTGTT